ATCGTGTCCCCCTAAAGAGATATAACAATTGGTTGGCAATGAAGAAAGGCTCTCTCTGGAGCGCAGGAAGCTCTCTCCGGTCCTGGCTTCCCAGGGCCCTCTCTGGCTCTTGGGCCAGGGGAGGCTCTCCGGTTCTCGGTTCCCAAGGCTGTTCCTGCTCTCATGGCCGGGTTCCCCCTACGAGGACCGCCAAGCGGGGCTGAGGTGAGCAATGCTACCATGAATTGTGTCCGACTCCATTACTTGACTCTATTTCTACCTCTCATGCTCTCTATGACTTTACTATAATCTTTACTTATTATCGCTGTACAATTGCGCCTACCAGACCTGCAATGATTTGTGGGGGACCCCTCTCTCCTTAACCCCACAGCTGAGAAGCAAGAAAGTCCACATGGAAGAAGCACACCAGCCTGTGTGATCATGAGGTGTCAATAGGCTCAGGTATCAGGTATCAAAAGATACAAAACAAACAGTTATATCAATGTGAATGAGGGGACTGGAGTGGAGACCCAAAGCCCATCTGTAGACAATTGGGCCTCCCCCCACAGAAGGCTTACAAGGAAGGGACAATTCAGTCAGGGTGCAGTAGAGCACTGACGAAACACCCATCATTCCTCTAGTTCCTGAATGCTTCCTCCCCCCACCACCATGACCCAGTTCTACCTTACAAATCCAGCTAGACCAGAGTACACACATTTGTACAGATAAGAGCTCTCGACACATGTAATTCAGGACAGATACAACCCTCAGGTACAGTGGTGGGAGTAGAGTAAGGTGACCAAATGTCCCGCTTTTGGCGGGACAGTCCTGATTTTTAACAATTTTTCCCGCGTCCCACGGCATTTTTAAAAAGTCCTGATTTTTGGAAAGAATGCACGACAAGCTAGGGTATACAGTTTTTGGCTGCCATGTGGCTGTTTCGCCAGGATATGAGTTTTATCAATGGTGTCCTGCTTTACCAATGTTAAAATCTGGTCACCTTAGAGTAGAGATATCATAAGGGTAGGGGATGTTGGGGGCTGGGGTGGGGAGAAATGGGGAACCCAACACAAAGTTGGATATATAGGCCGTCCCAGGGGGACAAATAATAAATGTGGGTAAAGGGAAACAACACACAGTGTAAGACACGGAATAAGAGCAATAATATAGAAATTGATCAAGGATTCACAAGGGTGGGATAGAGGGAGGGGGGAGAAGGGAGGGGGGAAAGAGGAGCTGATACCAAGGGCTCAAATGGAGAGAAACTGTTTTGGAAATGTTGATGGCAACATATGGACAGTGTGCTCAATACAATTGAATAATGGATTGTCATAAGATTTGTAAGAGGCCCCCAGTAAAATGATTAATAAAAAAAGAAAAGAAACAAACAAAAACCGAAATGTATTATTGATTATCGTAAATGTGAATGGGCAAAGATTGCCAGGTAAAAGACAAAGATCACCGCATGTAGTAAAGATATATCTGCTGCTGAAAAGGGACACATCAGATGCACAGAGGCCCGGCCCCTCGTTTGAGTGATAAGATAAGCTAGACATGACGCACAGTGGAGGGGAGGAGGAGGGCAGTGGATGCGAGGAGGAGGGCAGTGGCAGGCAGCAGGCGTCGCTGGAGCGAGGGAAGCAGTCAGCAAGACCCACCTCGGCATGTTGTAGACGCATTGTCAGGAGGGGCCATTCCCCGGAGGGTTTCATGCTTGATTGGCGGGAGAAGAAAAAAAAAGACCTTCCCTGAACAGAGGGAGCCAGTGGTTGCAAAGGGGTGTGGGTGGTGAGGGCCGGGCTGTGCTGTCCGCTGCTGGCCAGGGCCGGCCGGCGGAGTGCCGCTGACAGCCGGGCTACTTCGGGTTTTCCAAAGCAATCGCGGATCAATCTGGACGTCAAGGTGAGAGTTCGCCACATGATGAGCATGACCAGCCTCTGGAACTGTGCCCATGCGAATGCTGACCTGTCAAACGCTTTGCTGCAAATCTACGACGATCAATTGACCAGGATGGCATAACATGGCAATCATCGATTGACCAAGACTGACAAACTGGACGCATCATTAATGGCTATACCAACCCATAAGCTCTGGCTAAGGGTGGACAGGTCATCCGAAACGTCGTGCGAGCCTGAGGTGGCAGAATGGCAGCCATCACCGAGCAGAGAAGCAGCAAGCCCAGGGGAGAGCATGCAGCTGTGCACCCGAGGGGGCCACAGAATCAGGTAACAGGCATCAGGACACCCAAAGCAAAACATGATTGAGCACGAGGGGGGTCGGAGCAGAGACCCCACACCCATCTGTGGACAATCGGACATCTCCTCACAGAGGAGTCACAAGGAAGGGATGAGTCAACCAGGGCGCAGTACAGCACCGATGAAACACACAATAGTCCTCTGGTTCCTTGAGGCTTCCTCACCCCCCACTATCATGACCCCAGTCCCGTCTTTCTCTGAGGGCTAGGCTGGAGAATGTACACCGGCACAGATAAGAGCTCACACAGAATCCAGGTCAGATCGACCCCTCAGGAACATAAATGGGAGTAGCAATACCAGGAGGGTAGGGGGAAGGTAGGGAGAGGAGGGGAGGGGAGGCAAGGGGAACTGATAACAATGATCAACACATAACCACCCCCTCCCCCAGGGGGATGAACAACACAAAGCTTGGAAGAAGGAAGTCAGCAGTTGGTGTAAGATATGAAAACAATAATTTATAATTTATCAAGGGTCACGAGAGGGTAGGGGGGCAGGGAGGGGAAAAAAGAGGAGCTGATACCAAGGGCTCAAATAGAAGTAAATATTTAGAAAATGATGATGCCAACCTATGCACAAATATGCTTGCTACAAGGATGTGTGGGTGTTGTAAGAGGGGTCAGGGCCCCAATAAAATGATTTAAGAAGAAAAGGAGTGGTGGTCAGGAGGTTGGGTGAAGATGTTCCATCCGTGGGCCTCCCGGAGTAGACCCCAGGCACGGTGGCACGCGTGTCGCTGGACATGCTAAGTGGCCCCGCTGCAGACTGGTCTGCATCAGCAAATGGCCACGGGGACATGCACTTGGTCATGGTGGCAGGGTGGTGCCTGTGTGTGTCTCCAAGTCCTGAGCCAGGCCCCGGAGAGGTTCATTGTGAAGGGGACACCCTCATCCTGTGTGAAACAGGTGCTCCTACTGGGCTTGGGTAGGAGCCCTCCAGCCAGCACCCATCTGTGCAGACCCACTAAGTGCTTTACTGTCCAGGTGCCCCACGAAGCACCGCCGTGGGCCATGAACTCCAGCAAACATCAGCAGTGGGACCAGATCCCGGACCCCTTGCCTGGCTTCTCCAGAGGAGAGTGGCCTGCTGGTGCCTCCGAGGGTAGGGGTGGCATGCCTTCTTGGTAAGGTCGGGGCTGCTGCTGCTGCAAGGAGGGAGCAGAAGCCCACTGCCCACTGGGGACAGCAAGCTGGTGCCTGGGGAAGGTCAGGCGTCCCACCCTCTGACCTGACAGCCGGAGCCAGGCGGGTGAAGTAGGTGTTCCCTGCAACTGCAGCCCACAGTCTGGCACCCGGGACAGGGACCCAAGCCACAGGAACAGCTGGACATGGCCAAGTAGCGGCGTTAGCAGTCCAGTCCTGGGGTGGCCTCCAGTGACGTGGCCACCATCTCCTAAGGCTGAGTCCTCGCTTCCTCTTGCCTCTGCCCAGCTCCAGCACCTGGGCCTGTAGCAAGGACTCATTCTGGCTGCCGCTCCGGGAAGCCCATCACTGAGTGCTTGGTCCTGGCTGTAGCCCAGCGGCTCTGACGGGGCAACTTCACATGAGACAGAGTGACACCAAGCCCGTCCAGACAGTCTTCGGGACTCTGGGTAGGTGTTCCTATCAACCACCGCACCCACCCATCGCAGGGGGTTCCTCCTTTTGTCAACCCCCCTACTGAATCAAGCACGATGTCCTTCAAATCCTCGCCGTACCCGCTGCAACCAAGGACCCGGGCCATACACGGAGTCTACAGAACGTTCACCAAAGTAATTCAGTTGAGATTTTCAAACCTCCGTCAGCAGGACAAAGGCCATGTCTCTTGCCCTGGTGCAGGGGTGTTGTGCACGTGTGTGTTGTTCCGTGTGCAGGATGGCATACTGGACTAGTAGTTCATCTGAAGGCAGTCATTGGGGTCCCCAGGGAAGCCTCAGAGCGGAGTTTGACGGGGACGAGGCAAACAAAAACAGAAAACAAAGGCTCCGCCATCCTAGCTCGTCCATAGAGGGTCTCCGTGAGCGGAGGGAGCAGGAGGCACAACGGGCGGGCAGGGAGGCCAGGTGAGAGCCGTGGCTTGGCAGCCGGGGAAGGAAAGCGCGCCGAGCGATCTCTGGATCTTTGGGGTGCAGGAAGATGGCCCAGCCGCGGTCGTGGGGGTGGGGTGGGGAAGCCCTGATGAAGAGGGGGACTGCCATCTGGGGTGTGCTGCTGAGGTTGCCGGGACGCCCCGCTGTCAGGAGCGTTACAGAAAGTCCGAGCAGATGGGGCGTGCGGCTCCGAGGCAGGGCGCGGCCGCCTGGGACCCTGCTGGAGGAAGCAGCGGGGAGGCCGGACGCGTCCCGGCGCACATGGGTCAAAGTGGCACAGCCGTGGACAGCGCCTCCCAGCCGGGCCACACGAGGGCGCCCACGGACGGCAGAGACCACGCGCAGCCCCGGCGTCCACCCCGCACGCCCTCCGGGCCGGGCCAAGGGAGGGTGTGTGCTTGGGGGGCACCGCGCTGCAGGGGGAGGGGCTGGGCGCAGGACCCTTGGGGCCAAGGCCGCCCAAAGGCAACTCGGGAAGGCACTAGAAGGAGCGCCGCCGCCGGGAGCCAGGAGGGACGGAGGCCGCCCACCCACCCACCTCCCTGCAGAGGGACACGCCCTTCCCCACCGTGGACACGCCCCCAGGCACGGTCGGCTCACTCCAGGCACACACAGAAACACCCCACGTGTGTGTCCCGCCTAGGACAGCCTTCGTCTCACCCAGTGCACCCCACCCCGCAATCCGGATCCCCGGCGCTCACCTTTGGGGGCTTCGGGGCCCAGTGGGGGCGCAATATCCCGGGTCTGCTCGCCTGCCTTCCTGGGTGGCTTGGGGTCCTCCCCTGGCTTCCCTGGGGGAGGGAGGTGTTTGCTCAGTCATTGTGGCGGGTAGGACCCCTCTCCCAACCTCAGGAAGTGTTTATGGGGCGCGTCCCGACCATTAACGAGCTGCCTGTGAGGCATCACGCGATGCCTTTAACGAGGGCAGCACAGCGTCCTTCAGAGTGAGTGAGTGTGTGTGTGTGTGTGTGTGTGTGTGTGTGTGTGCACACACACCCCCTCCCCTTCAGAGGCCCCCAGTCCATTCCCTCCTGCCTGCCCTGCCCCGCCCCACACCCCAACTCCGACCCCAAGGCCCCTTCCCCTCCCAGGCTCTTTGGTCTGTGGCCCCTGCTGTCTGTCCATCTCCTGGGGCCAGGCCTGGGTCAGGGGTGACGTGGGGTGGGGCATGGAGGGCTGGGCCCAGCAAACCAGTCCAGCCAGAGTGGTGGAGCCACACCCTGCCCGGGCCCTGGGCGTGGGGCTGAGTCAGCCAGCCCAGGCGGGGAATGGTGGGGAGGTGAAGGTCCACAGCCTCTCACCTGCGCTGGCCCTGTGTGCCATCCCACCCCCTACAATCCCAGGGACCCAGGCCGGGGCGTTTCAGTGGGCAGGGAGCTGGGTCCAGACAGCCAGGGCCATAGACGCTGGGGCATCCAGAAGGCCCTCTGGTGCCACCCTCCCTGCCCCTTAGCAGCCACACAATGCCCGGTGGCCTTGTCCTGCCTGGCCCACCCCAGGCCACGTGCAGCCCACCCCACTGACATCCCAGGCCCACTGGGCTCACCCTGGTCTGAGTTGGAGCCTGAGCAGGAGGTGTACAGAGATAAGTATGGGTTGGGGGCTCCCGTGGCTGTGGGGGACTGGGCGGGGAGGGGCATGCAGTGAGCGGCTGGAGGCTCCCGTGGCTATGAGAGGTTGGGGATCCTCTGGCTGTGAGGGGAATGGGGGTCTCATGCAGTGAAGGGCTGGGGTCTCCCAAGCAGTGAGGCACTAGGAGCTCCCATGGCTGTGAGGGGCTGGGGCCTCCTGTGCGTGAAGGACCGGTCATGAGAGTCCTTGTTCGGGCAGCTGAGTGGCCAGGAGTTCGTTTTTCCCGCGCAGGGTGGGGTGGAGGCGGGCACCCACGCAGGCAGGAACAGACAAGCCCTGTGCCTGCTGTAGGCCCGGCTTCCAGAGGGACGGAGAGCCGCCTTCAGTTTCTCCCAGCCTCCCTCCCTGTCTGGCCAGCAGGGCCTCTGGCCCATAGGTGCCGCCCCGTCAGCATGTTAGTCAGCCTGCTCGCCGCCGGGAGCAGCGCGCCTGGAGTCCAATAAACTCCTGCTCGGCCCAGCCCGCCTCTCAGGGCCCCACCAGGCCCACAGGCAGAGCTGAGCGGCAGCACTGCCAGGCTGGGCAGGGGCAGGGGCAGGGACAGGGTCTGTGCTGTGTGTGGGGATACGCGTGGGGCTGGTGGCTCTGTGAGGCCGGCTGGGAGCAGACCCTGGGCGGCAGAGGCGGCCAGCAGGGCCATGTCTGGGAAGCGAGGGCGGTCTCGCCGAGCTCGGGCCAAGAAGGCAGGCAGGGACCTGCGGGCGGCAGGGCAGCAGGGCCCCAAGGCCCAGCCCCCGCCCCCTGCCACAGGGGGCCCTGGGGAGGAGGCGGGGGTGGACCCTCCGGGGCACGTGACCCATGGCCAGCCTGCACCCCAGGGCCACCCCAGGGCTACCAGTCCAGAGCGGCCACGGGCAGCCACGAGCCCGATGCAGGCCATTGGCCCGCGGTCCGAGCTGGCAGTAGTCCCTGTGGTGGACATGGAGTGCTGTGGGGAGGGGACTCTTGTGCCCAGCCTGGGCCCCGAGCTGCTCAGGCTCCACGAGGTCCAGCTGTGCCTGGTCCAGGAGCAGCTGTTGCTGGAGGACCGGAGGCGCCAGATAGAGCTGCAGAAGCAGCTGTGGCAGGAGGAGCAGCTGTGGCGGGAGCAGCTGTGGCAGGAGGAGCAGCTGTGGCTGCAGCAGCTGCAGGAGGAGCAGGCCTGGGTGCGCGTGGAGGGACTGGAGTTGGCCCTGGCCCTGGAACAGCTCCGCAACGAGGGCCTGCAGGGGCTGCAGACCCCGGGCCAGGTAAGGCCGGCGGGCAGGCGGGCGGCATGGGGTGACTGTGCAGTGTGGTGGTCACACAGAAGGGCCAGGAGCCCGAGGCCAGGGGAGTACATGCTATGACCGGGCCCACCCAGCTGCCAGGGCCAGCGCAGAACAGCCCGAGCATCCCGCCATCTCCCCCAGGGAATGCACACGGGTGCCCACTGCCCAGAGCGCCGCAGAGGGTGCAGCAGACCACTCAGGGCCAGCCGTGCTGGGTGCGCAGCACCTGCGAGGGCGTGCGAGGGGCCAGGATGTGGAGGCCTGGTGTCCCCAGGCTGCTGGACAGAGGCACAGGGGGTGAGCTCCGCTAAGTGCTTCCTGTTTACTGGAATGTGTGTGCCCAGTGGCTGAGATCAGGGAAGTGGCACGCAGAGGCCTATTAGCCTGGTTCCTGGAGCCTCAGACGCAGCTGGAGCTATTTTGGGGAACTGGGGTCACAACCCCCACTTAACACAGGAGGAAGAGCACATCACACCCTGCAGGCCCCTGGGAGCCGGGAGCCCTCTGACGGGCAGGGGAGGCACCACCGGGGGCAGAGGGAGGCGTGGTCCCTGGACTCCCCCAGAGCCACACAGTCTGGATGCTCAGCGGAGGATACAGGCAGGCAGCGTGATAGATAGGGGAAACGCTGCTCAGAGAGGGGCAGGGGTGGGGCAGCACTGGCTGTCGTGGGTGAGCAGGGAAGGCAGGGAAGGGAGAGGGAGAAGCAGGAGGCCGGGAAAGCCCAGGAAGACCCCGGTGGAGCAGAGGGTCGCAGTAGACCACCTGGCATGAGCATGCTCCTTCAGGATACAGATTTGGGCCATACCGGCCCGTCCATCCACCCCTGCACCCTCACATCTCCACTGGTCCTCGCGCTCTGCTCCCTGGAGCACTGATCCGGGCCCTTCCCAGCCACCAGCGGTACAAGACTCAGGGCCAAGGTCTGGAAGGGGCAGCTGAGTTCTGAGCGAACGCCTTACCAGAGGGGTGCCCTAGGGGACCCCAGAGGGCCTCTCGGGGTCAGTGTTTGGAGGCACGGCCTGTGGACAACAAGGGCACTGGGGCACTCACCAGGCTTGGGTCTTGTCTTGGCTGCAGAGACCGACTTCTGCCCCTTCCCTGGCAGAGCTTTGGAGCCTCCTTTCTTACTGCTCATCCTCCTGGGGCACAGGAGAGGCCCGGGGACGGGTGCTCAGAGTGGCAGGGGGTCAGGTGGCAGGATGGTGCCCCAAGGACATGTGGTCTCCAGGGCCCGCTCACCAACCCATGTGCCTCGGGGTCCATGGCCTGGTCCTGCCCGCTGTCATTGTGGCTCACGCACGAAAGGGAGCCTCGCGGACGCCTCTGACTCCTAGGCTCTGGCCCTGTCCACCCTCTACTTCTGGGGTCTTGGGGCCTGTAGGGAACCCTCTGCCCCAGGGGGGCCCCCCAGACCTGGAGCAGGGCTCTGACCCAGATGGTGTTCCCCACACCAAGCGGACTCGTCAGGTGGTACTAGGGGGGGAAGAAGAACTGGTGATCTGAAATGACCTGGAACCAGAGAAAGTGGGACCTCCGGGGCCAGAGTAGGAAAGAGCAGCAAGCAGCCTGAAGGCTGGCAGAGAGAAGGCTTCTCAGCCTCGTGAGACAAAAGGAGCAGGGCGCTGGGGTGGGAGCATAGGGTGGGCAGGAGAGGAGCAACGTGCTGTGGGCACTGGCAGAGTGGACAAGAGAGGACCAAGGTGCTGTAGGCACAGGTAGAGTGGGCAGGAGAGGATCGGGATGCTGTGGGCACAGGCAGAGTGGGCAGGAGAGGAGCAGGGTGCTCTGGGTACAGGTGGAGTGGGCAGGAGAGGAGTGGGATGCTGGAAGCACAGGTAGAGTGGGCAGGAGAGGAGCAGGGTGCTGTGGGCACAGGTAGAGTGGGCA